GGCATCTTCCATGGCCCACAGGGTGGCCAAGGAGGCCAGGCATGGTGCAGGGGCCAGGGGTGTCTCAGGCACGGGTGCAGCTAACCCCCTGGGGCTTGGGCTCCACCAGCGAGTGTGCCCCAGTTCACAGTGATACTGCACAAGCCCCGCTGGTGTCGCGGAGCAGGGACTGGGCTGGCTCCAAGCCAAGAAAAGGAGAGGCTGGTCCTGGGCATCCCCAGGGAGATGCTTTGCTGGGGCGCAGGGGAGGAGATGCCAGCACCTCTCTGCCAGCCCCAGCTCTCTGGGCAGCAGGGCTGCAGAGATGCCTTTCCTCGAAGCCCATTGTCTGGAGCAAGGATGGGTGTGGGCATCCCAGTGGAGATCCTGGCATTTACCAATCCTGGGCTGCGGCGTCGCTCCTTGGAGAGCCTGTCTTCCAGGACTCACAGCTCCTCCTGCGAGGTGGCAGGATCCTGGGGTCACTGCTGAGCTCGGAGCGGCCATCAGGCTGCGGCCATGCCCTGCTGGCCTCACGGCAGGGAGATTCAGCCACACGTGTAGCGAGCCTCATCAGTGCTCTGCCCCCTGCTTCCTTCTCCTGGCTGATGGTGCCACTCTCCCTTCGGGCCAGGAGGGTTATTTTTAACTGTTTGCCATGTGCTGCCTGAGCACAATTAAGGTAATTGGTTTGGGAGCCTGGCTCTCACACGCCGCTCCCAATTACCTGCCTGCCTGCCCAGGCGGCCCCCCGCCTCCCTGCCCGCCGTGGCCGGCTCCTCCGGAGGGGGACTGCCGGGACAGGGCTGCCCCAGATAGTGCAGCGGGGCTGGGTGAGGGGCGCGAGCGGGCACAGGGGATGGAGCCATGGAGAGGACAACCCTGCACAACGACAGCCTGCTCTATGCCTCCCTGATTGCCATCCTCCTCCTCATCTCCTATTGGTTCACTACTCGCTGCTTCAAAATCATCAGCGGCATCGAAGGTACGGGGGCGGGGGGGGTTGGGGACAGAGGGGGACAGAGTGACACTGGCCCATCCTGTACCCTTCCACAAGTCAGGTGGTGAGGAGAGCCGGGCGCTTGGTGTGGGAGAGGGGGATTGGGGACCCCCTTGTCTGCCTGTCTGAGGCACCTCCATCTCCTCCTCGATGACTTTATTTGTTCCTCCTGGTCCTGGTCCTGGTCCTGCTCCGGTGGCACCCACAGTCGAGCCGTAGCAGTGCCCAGGGATGCTCCGGGGGCATCTGGCTCCGCCGTGCTGCTGGTGTCTGGGTACCACTGTCCTTTGCTGTGGGACGGGGTTGCAGATGGGCTCCCCGGTGCCTCCCACTCTGTGGGGAGTGCCCAGTGCTGATGCTGGGACCTCAACCTGCATTTTGGGGCTCTTGGTTCCCTTTGGGCGTGACCTACATCTTTGCTCCTCAGCTGGTGTGTTGGGGAGCGCTGGGATGTGGTGGGCGCACTGGTTTCCCCAGTGAAGGGTTTCTCTAAGCCCCACCGCAGTGGGATGTGTGTGCTTGGGGCTCTGCCAGAGACCCCTCCAAGGCAAGGGGCAGGGTAGAAGAGGTGGCACTGGTGCCGCTTGCCTGGGGACGTCCCAGGCCTCTCCTGCCTGGGATGTGCAGGAGATGGGGTGTGCATTCCTCCATCCATCGGTGTGACCTCTCCCTGCAGAGCTCAGCCGGGGCCTCATGGCTCTTCCCATGGCATGACCCAATGCTGGCTGGCTGCAGGGGTGAGATGCCACCCCTGGGAGTGATACCCTTTGGTGGGACGGGTGGCAAAGCCCTGTCCCATTTCTGTCTGGGTGCATACGTTTTGGGTGGCCTTTCAAGCATCCCTTGCCAGGCGACTGCGGGTCTGGCTCCATGGGCGAAGCCTCACGTGTGGTCCCACGTGTCTCCTCCAGCCTGGGGGCAGCTCCAGGTGGAGGAGCATCCCTAGGGATACAGGTGAGGTCAGGGGGTGGGGGTCTGACACCCTGAGCCCACCTGGACCTGGTGGGAGAGGACGTGCTCTGGGCAAGCAGCCCTGGTGAATTTGGGGGGGTGGGAGCTGGCACGGTGTGTGGCACCAGGACACGGGACTGGCACCAGGTGCCTGTGCTGGTCCTAGTGGGATCCTGCATGGTGCTGGCAGCGAACAGCAGAGGGATTTTATTAATGAGTAATCCTGAGGTGGTGGCCAGCTGTGGTTTATCACTGCTCTGCTGGGGAGGCCGGCTGGCACGGGACGGGCACAAGGGCAGTTGTGGAAGCCATCACTCAGGGGCTTACCTGCCCCCAACCCTCTGGCCCCAGCGTCCCATGGTGCCCACAGAGACACACGAGGGGCTGACAACAGTCTGGTCCCATGGGCTGAGCAGGTTGGCTTTGCAGAGGAGCTGCCCCCAACCCTCTTTGCTGGGACAAGGCTGGAAGGACCCCTCCACCACTCCGTCTGGCCAAAACTAGGTTGCATAAACAGCCTCATGGCACGTGGGACAGACATCGGCCCTGGGAGCAGGTGGAGGCTTGAGGAGATGGTGGGTTGCAACCGGGGCTCAGCAAGAAAAAAAAGCTTTAAAAAATGCAGTTGGCATCAGTGGGAAACTTCATCTGAGAGTGCAACAGGCCTGCATCACCCCGTCCCCAAAGGGCAGGGGCAAAGCTGGGAGCCAGCTGGGTGAAATCCAGGCTCAGTGCCTGGAAACTCACTGCTTTTCAAGAAAAGGAAATGTCAGGTCTGAAAACTTCCAGCCTGAGGGATGTTTCCCCGGGGAGGGCTTTCATCTCTCTCCCCAAGCTGCCTCTGATGCATCGCTGGCATCTTCTGCTGGTGTCAGAGCCTTAGGAGCATGCCCTGGGCAGGCAGGAGATGCTGAGCCTGGTGGCACGGAGCTGTTAAGAGCCTGGCCATGCCATGACCTGGGACTGAGCCACCAGCCTTCTCCATCCCCTGCCAGGGGACAAACTTGCAGCCTCCTGGCCTGGGGGGTTGGTGTGGAGCAGCCCTGCTGGGAGCTCTTGCCAGCATCAGCCAGCACCTCCCACATCCCCTTCCTCCCACAGGTGTCCCAGGGTGACTTTTCTTCCCCTGGTGACATATTTCCCCCAGCAAAGAGATAACAAGGAGGAAAATTCTATGATTCTATCTAAAAGGGCTTTCTGCCCCTGTCCTGTCTGCGGGGCACTTTGTGGGGGCAGTAGGGCCCTAGAGCCGGGCAGGAGGTCTGCCCCATAGCCTGAACATGGCCACCCCACCTGTACCTGGGGCAGATGGTCTTGTTCCTGGGTCAGGGGGGAACGAAGTGGGGTGGGGAGCAGTGGTGGCATGGGGACAGCCCTGCTCCCTGCCTGCCACACTGGTGCTGGACTTGGGACTGGTCTTGCATCATGTCCCATGTGGGACTTGTCCACCCAGGATGACACCCAGTGCCAGTGGTGTCCCCAGGGGCAGCCAAGGACCCCAGGGGGCTGAGCCCTGGAGATGGAGACGGGGACCAGCAGGTGCCTGGCTCCCTGGTGGTGCCTGTGGCCTGTGACGGAGCAGCCAGGCGAGGGCTGGGATGCTGTTAAAAAAAAAAACCATGGGAGCTAAATATAACCTCATTGGCTGTGTAGGGATGTGTGCTCCAGGCACACGGACACCGGGGTTCACCCTCTGCCTCCAGCTGCTGACTGACCTTGGTCCCCCTGGGTCCCCAGTCCCTGTGTCCCCTCCTCTCCTGCCTGTTGCTGCCCTGCCTGCAGATCTGGCAGTGTCTCAGGCATCCTATGCCCCCCCCCCCCCAACTCCCAGCCTGTTCCCCCAGCCCTGCTCCCTGTCTCCTCTTGGCTCTCCTAGTGAGACACCCGGGCCCATCTGCCAGCTCAGAAATGGGGCAGCTGGACCTGTTGCCCCAGACCTTCCCCAGGAGAGAATTAGGGGGACCTTGGGGTGTTCAGCCATGGTCATCCCCAGGGGGCAGGCAATGCGTGTGGGGCGCAGAGGACAAAGTCTGAGTCATCCCCATCCTGGATGTTTAGCCAGTGCCCGGCGTCCTGTCCCCTCCCCGTGTCGTGTCCCACCCCCCCCACGGGAACTGAGTGCCTTTTAATATCTGTGGCCCGTTTCCTTAGCAACTGCATTAAGCAAATCGATAGAGGTGGTGTCATTGGAATGGGAGGGCATGCC